CCACAACTTTATATTATCTGTGACTGATGTCTGGAAAAATTAAGAGACATATTTTTGCTTATTATATGTTATTTTATGTGCTTCAACTACAATGGTTCTGAACGTGCATGTCTTGTTCCAGATTTTTTGCAAATATGTGAGTAAAAACGAAGTTCTTTTGAAAGCAAGGATGTCAATGCAGCAAAACTTATCTCATGGAGCACCAAGTCCCAAGTTATCCCAAAATGCTTGAAATACTGCGGGAACATTCAGTATGAAGAGCTCTTTTGTTCTCAAGTGTCAAAATTCTATATACATATGTTTACTTGTCATGGTTTTTCGAATTTCCGCTGTGCTATTTGTTTTGAGAGGGAAAAAATCAATGTTTGCATTACTAGTTGGAAAGTAAATAGGCTTGTTCTTAGCAAGCGCACTGCTAATCTTTGTAACCAAAATGGTAAGTTTAAACTTTAGGAGAATAAATTGAGAAAGTGTTATCTTCACAGGGTCCAAAATGTTAAAGGAACCTTTCCACCTGAAAAAAAGGTTAAAGGAACCGGCCACTCTTAGGAAATTAATTTTAGTTGCAGTGAGAAGTGATTCTATAGCTTTCTTTGAGGATAAGTTAGTTGTTAGAATTTGTTGTTGTTGTTTAGATCGTTATTATTTAATGATTATCTGATTAGTTAATTAATTATTAATCCATTGGTTAATAGTTACAATATTTATTAATGTATGACTTATTGGATGTGTTGCAGAAGCCAATGATCCTCAGAGCTCTAGGGTTATTATTTTCTCGAATTATAGGAAAAGTGTGAGGTAAATAAACTTCGTTTCATATCTTATGCTGCATGATTGGTGAAAGCTGTTTAGTTACTGAAATTTTAAAGCTACTGGTGGTATAATGATATAATCAGGATAAATGGATGCACTAGCAAATATTGGGGAACCAATCAGAGCTACTCAGTTTATTGGTCAAAGTTCAGGTATTTATATCATGATAGTTCTGTTTATCCATGTAGAGAACTTGATTGCGATATGAAATAAAATGTCCGTTCAATTATTGCAACTTTGCAATATATCTTCTATTGAGCCCAATATGACTAAAAAGTTGACATTTATTATAGTGGTAAACCTGAAAGAGGGGATAAAAAAGTTGACATGAAGAAGAAAAAGTGGGCGAATAAAACATGAGGGCTGAATTGTATTTTGTCGTACATGAAGGGCATGAATTTCTTTTTGAAAAGAGCAAAGCTCGATACACTAATTCTGCAGAGCATATCTAAAAGGGAATTCTCTGGCCTCTGCTAAAAATACGGTAATAGTAATGGTCAAGAATGCTTGAACTTTCTCTGACATGATAAAATTAATCAATTATTATCGGCTTTCCATTTTTTTCCTTATCTTTATTTTTGGGGAGATGTCTTTTCGTCCTTCTTACCCATTGTTTCAGTGAAACCGCCTCTTACATATTAAAATTCAATGTAATGAATTCCAGGGAAAACAATGAAAGGTCAGTCCCAGAAAGTTCAACAGGCAGTGCTGCAGGTATGTAATTCCTTTTGGTATAATTTTGCAGTCCTTGCATATACTTACGGTCGTTTACCCACAGAAATTCCGTTGTGGAGCCTACAATGTCATTGTTGCTACATCAATTGGTGAAGAAGGTCTTGATATCATGGAAGTTGATCTTGTTGTAGCTTTTGATGCTAATGTATCGCCACTAAGAATGATTCAGCGCATGGGGAGAACTGGAAGAAAGCACGATGGACAAGTTGATATCCTTTGGTTTCCAAAAATGTTTGTTGGCAATTGTTGCTGCTGATGTCCTCTGCTGAATAATTTCTTGAAGATCCTGATAGCATTTATTCTTTAAAGTGCTCTTAAATGCTTGTTCAAGTGATTCCTTCACGGCCATTACTAGTTTTAGCTTGTGAAGGGACTGAACTGAAGGGATACTTGCGGAAACAAGCCAAGAGCAAGGCTATTAGTAAACACATGCGGAATGGGGGCATAAATAGCTTCACTTTTCATCCTAGTCCCAGGATGGTGGGGACTCCCTTTTATGGCTCTTACTCTTTTACATGTTCTGTTGTTTTCTTCTTGATGTGAAATTTCAGTTTCTGACCATAAACCTCAAATCCTGCTTACTATTTGCGTAGATTCCCCACGTCTTTAAACCAGAGGTTCAGTTTGTTGAGCTGTCAATTGAGAAATTTGTTTCCCGTGAGAAGAAAGTAAGAGGTGACTCCATTCAGATACATGCATCTATTGGCAAACTCACAGCAGCAGAGAATAATATACTTGCGAAGTATTTTCCAAACCACTGGTGAAAATACGTGGAAGCCATCTCTTGTTGCCTTTCCTTACTTCCAGACATATCCTTCTAGAACACATAAAGTGAATCATTCCTGTAGAGCAATAATGCTCATTGATTTGATGCAACGTCTGCAAGGACAAACGTCATTCTTAGGAAACAGTAAAACTTCCATCCCTCAGGTTTTCTCCTTGTCTAGGCTTGTCATTTATTCGTTGCATTCAATATAGCTATCATGTGATTGCTTTTCTATTTTATTCAGGATGGCCCGTGTATAGAAGCTAGCAATGCATCCGACCTAAACAAGATTCGCGAAGTTAGATCAGGTAATATCAGTTTCAGTTTCTCAAGAATTTTCACTATGATTTGTAAAGATGGTTGGAGCTCATCCGTACTTGTTTTATTTTCAGACCAGAGACAATGTTATTATAGGAACAGTCACACAAAAAAAAAGAATAATTATCTTAATTATTGTTTCAAATATATTTGTGTAATGAGAATTGCGATTATCTCCCTTTAGTTTTTTTTCCCCCTTAAAGACTTTTTTAATCTTGCAAGTTGCTTAACATTTTAGGGGGGTGAAAAGAGATATTAAGCATATTGTATTGCAACGAAGTGATTCAAACATAATGCAATTTCATTTTCTTTTGGGGGTGGGGGATTGATGTTTTGAGAAGTGGTGACCTTCTCATATACATGCATATAAAAACAACAAAATATGAAAACCTGTGAACACATCTGCTAGTTTGATGCCTTTCCTTTATTTATTTATTGTCCTTTTCAGACAACAAATCACACTCTAGGCATACCGTTGGAAGCAATGCAGTCTCTGTAAGTTGCCTGAAGCTGGATCCCTCTCGTTTAGGGATTCAGACTGAAGACTTTGTTGATCTAACTGCACCAGATAATATTGTGGGAGAACAGAGATCGCCTAATACAAGTTGCATAAAGAAGGATGATCTACCGTCATCTACTTTTATTGACTTAGATGAAAATAAAGAGAAAACATGTGAGTTTGAAGAGACAGTTCCTGACACTCCAATTGCTAACACAGTTATGTCAGATGAAGGGCATAGCAATAGTGGAACGCCTGATCATTCTCAGTTCAAGACATCTTTGTTGCTAGACGACGTATTCAATAATGACATCAATGAGTCCCAGTGTAGTCCCCGTTTGACCAGTTTAATTAAAAGTGGTGTTGTTCCAGAGTCTCCCATTGATGAGAGGACTGATTTTCTTCCAGGTCATGATGGTTTTTTCAATAATGTTGCTAAATAAGATCTCTGTTAATTATGTCATTGAATAATCTGTCCTGAGATAAATAAAATTTGCAGGGTTATCAAAGAAGCCAGCTTATCATTCGGCACTGTAAACCACTTGTTCATCACCAGACGGAACAACAAATTACCTCAAGTTTAGGGACAAATGAAGAGGTCGTTATTGATAATGCCGCAGATGTAAATAACGTACCTATTGATCCTTCTAATAATGAAACTCAAACTCTTTTATTCGAACGGAAGAGTCGTGCAATTAGAAGAGTTCATGTCTTTAGTTCTCCTGTGGTGGAGGAAGGCCAAAATCTTTTAGCGGACATTACAAACCGGAGCTTTAGTGAAGATTCACCTTTATGTGGTGGAGATGTTGCTGATAGTGTCAAGCCAGCACATAGATTTAAAAGGTTGCGTAAAGCTGAGGATGGTAGGCGTCATCGGAAAGAGAAAAGCAGAAAGATCATGGCAAAGGTACCTTTTGCTAATGTTTGTTGCGTCCAACTTTAATCTTTATCAATGTTTCGTCGTTACCCTCAAAACTGAAGGAAATATTTGACTTTAGCTAACTTTTATATCTATGGAAAAGCTTTACTGGTGGCAACACATTATAATTGAACACTATATATGAAGTATTACGGTGAACTTAATCTGTTTCTATTTGTTCTCTGCATTTTAGGTAGAAGGAAATCAATGCACAATGTCAGAGTCTTCATTGACGACGAGGCTGAGTAAGCTCATGCTTAGACTTATTAAATGTTGCATTCTCATGTTATCCTTCTTATCATTTTTGGTAAACGTATTCAGCCTATCTTTCATGATTTTGTGGAAACAATACATGAACTACTCAATTTCCTTAGGGTTTCTTCAGAAGCTGACGTTTCTAATGATGAGGATGGTGAGGATGACAGTTCATCGGATAGTTTCATAGATGACAGGATGAACCCTACAGCAACAACTCAGTCCAGAGCTAGCGGAATAGACATGATGGCAATATACAGGTTCTTATTCTTCCCTTTTATTTCCCTTCAAATTGTAATCTTCTCAGCTTCCTGGTGAAAAGCTGTCGGTAGACATGCATGAATAGGGGCAATCTTTTATAGATATAATCTGTTAATTTCTTCTTATTGGAAAATATTGTTGCATTAGCTCATTATAATTACAAAATGACAATTTTATGTGCAAGTCATCCTATTCGTCATATTTCTGTTCTCTTGAATTTTACATGATATTAGCGCTTGGTTTAAGACAAGAGTAAGATAATCATCCTGAAACAAATGTCATTATAGACTTCACTGCTTGGTTATGGTCGTTCAATTTATGTCCTTTGATGAATTCCATGGAGTCCTTCATTTGGCCGTGGCTATAGAACACTTGCCTGCTGTCCTCACTTGGATTTTGGCTTGCTTCAAAAGCCATAAGACAAAACGAGACGAATGAAAGTGCTGTACTTGAAGAGTGAATGGGTCCTAAAGCATGCAAGAATTTGAAATTACCAATAAGTTCTCCAAAGCAATTCATCTATTGGTTTTTTCATGCATTCATCTCATATCTTACATTATTGGGTCAGATTTGAGCATTGTCAAGCTCAGTTGAAGGTAGTTCTCCTAATTTTGAATTTTTTTTCATCCATGGGATTCTAACCCTTGACTTTACTTAAAGGAATCAAGTTCTTTTCACCCCACCAACTATCGTTGGTTTCTTTTAAACCTCTTCGTTGCTTGGTGAAGAATTCCTTAAAACAAGGATTTCTTCACCGTCCTAACTCTTTCGCTATTGTTCCAAAATTGGATTTCAAAACTAACACATCTGCATTAGCTTTTGTAGCCTAGTTAGAATTGAAGCATGTACAAAATACGTTTTCCATTAGCGGGAGAGGGAAAGAAAAGATTGCTTTCTTGTGTTTCTATGTTTTGGTTTCCTATTTCTGCATTTGATCAGAACCCTTATCCCTTTAAAATTTCCTGATTAACTTTCGGTGTTGTAAATGATGCATAACAGAAACTATGTTGCAGGCGTTCTTTGCTCAGTCAAATACCAGTTGAAGGAGGGACCAACGTTTCTGCAACATTTAGTTGACTACTCGTTAGTCACTCTATGACTATAATTAGTGAAAATGGGGACTCTTCTGGCAGCATACCAAGACATATTCAGACTCGTCAAATTGAGCAAACAAATCAGTCAGCTTCCAAGAGTTTGCAGTCCGTTGAAGGCAACCAAATCACCTCAGAAGCTACACCTTCGAGTAGTTTTCCTCCTGCTACGACAACAGAAAACGAGATGAAAGAAAAGAAAATTGTCATTTCATCGTTTTGGATTTCCAAGTGCAAATCTTGAGCAGCAATTTGCACTTCAATCAAACGAAGAACCTATGGATGCTTGTGCAGCTAAGGATATTCTCTGTGATGATCACATTTTTGATAATATTGACCTTGATGAGTTGGAGGCTCAAGCAGCTTCTCTTCTTAAACAAAACTCAGATTTTTCAGCTCAGAAGCAAGGTGCGCATACAATACCTCAATCTCACTTGCAAAATCCTCACCTTTCCAACCCATCATTCGACCTTGGGATATGAAAACTCATGGGAATGCACGTAATAACCATTGTTGCTGCTGGCCCTGGCACTTCCATTGTGGACTTGCCTTGGTGCAATTTCAGATAATTGAAATTCAGCAGGATTTTGTACAGGTTAATATTTCAGTTATCAATAGCTGTATAGTTTATTCATGCATATAAGGGAGCAAGAAAATAATGTACTTACATCCTTTAATATTTAATTATGCAGTTGGAAAACTCGCAGGATCATATTTGAGATATTTCTTCATTGTTATAATCAAATGTATATAAAAGTTTGTACAACAACTTGCTCCTGGCAAAAAATAATTTATGGGATTTCTTACAAACGAAGTGTTTTAGTTGTCATTAATTGAGCTAATACTACTTCTAGCCCTAAAATAAGAGTTAGCTGAAGATTTAATTTGATTCTAAATATAATATTCTAATATTTTTGTTTTTTTTATATTTATTTATTTATTTATAGTAGTTCTTATAGTGATTACACATGTTAAAGAGTTTTCTTTTTAATACATGTAATTAATAGAGTATTTTAGTGAAAACAATGCATTTATTACAAATATTAACTTAACTAATTTTCTTAACACTCAATTAATTATCTAATTTTTATAGAGGTTCGGAGGCAGTAATACTGCTGGCCAGATGAGGTTTGCTCAGAGTTTTGCTGTGTTGGATTGTTAGTATTCAAAGGTTCAGTTTTGAAGTGAAAGCAAAGTGAACCAAACTGATTTGTTTAGAAAAAGGTTGATCTATAATGATTTGACTTATCGATTATTTTGGTTTGGTTGTGTTAATTCGATTCAAGATAAACGAAGTTTTTCTTTTTTTAAAAAATAAATTATTGGTAAACCAGTTTAAATTTGTGCTCCTTTTTGAGGTGAAAATGCCAGCCCTTTATTTTTTTTTCCGATGCGAGCTTATTTATACTATGAAGTATATATATTAACCTCGTAAATACTACTCCTCCGATTCTAAATATAAAACCTTTATATACACTAGTATAGAGTCTTCTATATTTAGAATTAGAGGAGTATTATTTTTTTTTTCTTTCATGTGATTTTGTCAACTATACAGATATCCCCACCATCATATTCTTATTGGTCAACAGCAAACAAAACTTAAATCATATATCTTTGCTTAAAACTTTAATTACAAAAGTAACTCCATTGAAAATGTTATGTACGAATTATATGTATTTATACATAATGATCAATTTATCTATAGATAACGTTTTTTAATATTACCTTTTCATGATTGTCTATAGATATTTTTATATATTTTAATTACATTATAGTATTTTAATCATAATTAGGTTGACGCTAATTCAACTATGCTGGATCATTGGCCCTTGAACCACTCATTTGACTGAATTTTAGTACCTTAAAAAAGTATGATCAGTCATCTCAAACTACAGTTAAAAAATATTAACACAAACGGAACAAGACAGAGTCATTCCTTGCATTCCCCTTGAGTCCCTAAAGAGACAGCACGAAGAAGATCAACTTACATAATTGCCTAAAACTCAGTAAACTTTCCAACCAAGGAAATACAACCTACACCTAAGAAGCATCCTAGCATGGTATTAACAAGCATTCAACTATCTCTTACATTAGTCAGGGTCAGAAGCTGAAATGTTTACATTGAAGGAAAACAAGCACATGTAAATTAGGGAAATTAGAAGATCACCAATATGTTGAAGGAAGCTGAATATTCCATGGCCCACTTGTATGCTTCACGACAAACAAGCTAGACATGACCTGCGTAGCTTGCAGGCCGGAAGTCCAGTGGATTCAGGGCCGATGAAGGAAATTGTGCTCGGCCTGGTAGCCACAGGCCATCTTTATGGGGTTGCAGCATCTGTGGCTGGCTGTGTTTCTCCCCTCGGCCAGCTTCATCCAATGGGGCTTCTTTCTTCTTCTTTACAAATTCAAAGAACTCTGCAACTTGATGAGCATAACTACACACCATAACAAAAATTTCAAATGCACAAGGTCATGATAGACGTACGAATATGTTCTTGCATGTTGGTTTGTTTCATTAATGATATTTTAAAAAAAAAATGTCATGCCAAGAAACCAAGATTTTTAATGATCAAGAAAAACGAAGACACTTTTTATCTAGGTTCTAATTCCGATCACTAAGCCAGTTGAAGAAAGTTCTAAAAACTTTCCAGTCCCTAAATTGAAGTAATGATTATATGAAATTCTCATATTAAAAAAAAAAAAAATCCTATCTAACTGCAGCCAAGGAATACCATCATCAGCAAGTATCAGAGATAAACCACACTATCAGCAAGAACCTAATACAAACATATATTACACTGCTTAACCCAAGTCCCATGAAACTTAAACTTACCGTCACCAATTTTAGGTAGTGACAATTCAGTAAGACTCATTAGAAGACTGTCCAAATGAAGTCACCTTAAAGTTTCATGAACAAATCGTTCAACATAAGAATGTAGACAAGAAACGGGGGGAAAAAAAAAGAGGTAAAATTATATAAGTAAGGATTAATTCAATGATGCTGCAGAATTCTTATTTCTAACAGTGGTGGGGGAGGCAAATTGCCTCTCATTCACTAGATTGCGCCACGTGGTGAAGCACATTAAGCAGACGACTTTATTAGAGATTAAACACCTTATCAAGAGATAAAGGATATAATCATCGCATGAATAACAACCCTCTATTAGAGATTATATAGAGACTAGCATATAGTTTGGCCACTTATCTGTACTGTTTCAGTATTAATAATGGAGCAGTAGGCCAGAATTGTTTTGCACGCCTCATTATTTATTAAATCAGTGCTTTACCATGAAATTTAGCAAACCCAATTTGCAACTTTAATTAGCCGAACCTAGAAAAGAAATAATCAAGCGCAATAGAAAAATCACGTGGGTAAGTAGACATCTCACAGAACCAAGTTTAGTCCATGTTCAACGCTATCTGAGCAAGAGATAGATAGCTTACTGTCTTTTTGCCTCAATGTCTCTGCTGAAATCAATATTGGGTTCGCAGTCCAGAATTAATGCAGGAACCTGCTTGTTATAAAAAATTCTCAAGCCGTACTACTAAATAACGGATAATAAAGTTAACACATCGATATCAAAAAGATAATACCTTCTGAAGGCTTGAATGCATACGATCACCCTCCAGATAAAACACACGCTCCCTTATAGCAGGATGCAAGGAATTGTCGACATGCAGAGGCAACTTACTCACAGATAACACTTCACGACTGCCGCTTTGGAAGGGGTATAACCAGCTTTCATGCTTTTCATGGAGGTCACGGAGATAATCCAATGTGACTCCACCTTCCTCTTCCCTCCTCCTCAACCTCATTCTCTTATGGCAAGTATCAGGACTTGCCCTAAGATAGATAAAACCATCAGGAATAAGTCCAGGCAAGCAGGACACAACAGGATCGAACCACGAGTCATAAATACTAATCTCCATCTCATTCATCCACTTAGCCTCATGAACAGCTCGTACAAAACCTTTATGCAACATTCAAGATGTCATAAGAATACACTAGTGTTGAATCTCTCAAAGCAGGGTTTTTTTTTCCCCCTTGATTGTTTTTTTGGCCAATGTTTCCCCTCTTTTGAATTGGACAAATGAGAAAAAGAAACAACACATGCTGCCAAACCATCACTTGCAATCACTAAAAAACTCTAACCAATGCATGTTTAAAGCAGTTCTTCTGAAAAATATATATAAAATGTGAGGGTAAGAAACCCCATAATAAAAGAAGCAAGGGAGGAAAACATGAATTCAGGAGAAGCTTTGTTAACAAGGTAATTTAACACCAACTTACTAATAAGGAGAACAATAGCAAAGCATTGAATTCTCACCATTCTGTCACTAAAAACACTCCTCTCCATTTAATCGAAGAGGCTTCATTCCACCAGATGACTCTCTTTCCTGCATAACCCTGGTAACAAATACATAGTTCTGAAACGTGTAAGCATACCGTTGGGGCTCAGCATAGAAAGCATCCAAAATATTGAAGTGATCAGCTCACATCCTCCTGCACTTGTTAATGGGTTCAGGAACCACCTCAACAAGGTCACGCAATTCAATTGTTTCATTAGCTATTCTCTGAAGGAAAGTAGTCTTCCCAACACTGATATTACCCTCAACACAGAATGTAATCTGTTTCTTTTGTGGAAGCTGCAAGGAGGAGGTATCATCCAACTCTTCATCCCACACTCTTTTTGATGTAGGTTGTTATACTTTCAGCATGGTTCCTGTGGATGATTCCCACAGAACTCTGAAGATATTCAACCATCTTATCACTAGATTTTCCAAAGAACTGCCAAAAAGATAAAAAAGAACCAGGTAAAAATTTAACCTTAACCTCAAAAAAAAAAAAAAAGGTGATGTGACACCTAAGGTGCAATACTTCTTCCTTTTATACAATGCTGACCCTGCTATCTTTCTTTTATGGCAATTCAGCTTGATGAACAGCCTAGGAATTTTAAGAAATAGGTGTAAATTGGCTAGAAGCTAATTTTAGATTCCTAGAAGCACTGGAGTCTTCATAGGCGGACTAAAGTGCAGCAAAATCAAATGTGCCATGCGTAGTGAACATCGTTCCTATTTGTTATAGACAATAAATCCATTCCTCACCCTTCTTCTAGCGGTTCAAGCTTTTGAGATCAAAGAGTTCAGACCACTTGAGTATATAGGAATAAGATAACTGAATTTAGACAAATCATATATGCTAGTCAATCAGACAAGTAAGAGTTTTGTTATCAAAATAGCTTGAATTAGAAATGAAGTTGGAACTTGGATGATAATAATTGTACTGAAAATACTAAACGAAGCTCAGATATTCTCAAAATATGACATAATAAAGCAACAAGACTATCCAGGCATGATTTATCATTGCAAGAGATGAGGCATCCAGTGATGTACAATGATCAGGCTGCAGGTGTACAAAGCGCAATGACAGCAACATAGACAAATTTATACCTTGTCTTTGTAAAGTTTCTTGAGCTCAACAACCCCAGCAATCCCTTTCCTTACAAGCTTTCTCAAATTTCTCGGACCCACGCCTGGAACAGTCAGTAAATCAGGATTTAGTGACGCCTCAAAGCTACTGGATAAACCCTTCTGTCGCCTATTTAATCTCAAGGGCTTCTCCTCAGAAGCCACTGAACCACAACACACTTCTTCAGTATCCCCATTACCACACTTCTCCGAACCCCTCGTACTCTCACCAACATCAGAAGAAGAGAAGACCAAGTTCGTGTCCCCTTTATACCGTCTTTAAGCAAACCCAGGCTCTTGCTTGCGTAATGTCTCTCATACTATCATCAAACCACGCACCTACAAGCACCAAAACTTCCTGAACCCGCCAAAGTGGTGAAGTAGCGAGATGAAATAGGAGAGTTCACAGGGAAGGGCTTCTTGGTAAGCGAGAACACCAGGAATGAGAAAGCCGTACGGAAGAAGGCATGGTGTGAAAATGTGGGGAATAATAATGCGAGAGTGAAGAAAGAGAAACAAGTGGGTTGAGGGGTTCTTGGAGAGAAGAAGAGAAGGCATGGAGGTGGCCGCAATGGAGGGAATGTGGACAGAAGAAGAAAGGCGAAGCAATGTCTGCATTGGTTCGTCTGAGTCTGAGCAGTGTCACCCACTGAAGGCGCGCGGGAAGGCGAAGCGGCTTCTTCTGTAGCTTTGCCCCTGGGGAGGAATTGAAAAAAATTGAAGTACACGGGACCCCAAAAAAAAAAAAAAAACAGAGAGAATTATTTGAATTTTTTAATTCTATCTAAATTAGTCATGTAACCCATACATTTAAAACCTTATTATAATTTACAAAATACATCAAAAATTGGAGAAATAAAAAATTACAAAAAATTTTCGCATAAAAGATAAACAATAAATTAACAAACTCATATTTCTTAGAATAATATTATTTTTTAATGAAAAGATATGTTGATTTAATGAAAATTTTAGGTTAAAACTTTTAGACTAAATAGGCTCAGAAAATTATATTATTAATAATTTGATAACATTGCAATATGTATAAAATTTTAGAAATATGTAGACACAGATTAGAATAGGGAAAAGGAAAAATTTTGAGTAATTAGATTTATTTATTTAATATACTTTTTAATTGAATCAAAATAAACAAATTCTAACATATTACTGAATTTATCATAAAATAAATAATATGTATAAAATCTCCATGCCTTATTCTGGTCCAAGTAAAAGAATAAAGTAGCATCCAATAATATTATTTTTCAATACGTCTAATACTCTAATTTTATTTACAATGCATGTAATATATTCATTTTATTTTTCTGCTACATTCAATATCCTAATGTTATTTTTCAGTTTGATCTAGTGATTTAATTTATTTATAATTTAGGGTGTTGAATACCCAATAAATAAAATTAAAGTATTATAAACATATAAAAAATAATATCAAATACTAAATGTATCATAAGATTAAGAAAATACTACCTTCAGTCCTAATTAAAGACTAGTTGACTATTTGAAGAGATTAAAGAAGTAGTTGAGTTATTATTTCTAATAAGTATTTTTTTTCTTAAAATATCTTTACTAATTAAGAGTATTGGTTAAAACTATCATGTTAAAAAAATTATTTTTAAAAAATAATAAATATAAAAAATAAAATAAATTAAAATCCTATAATTATGACCAAATCAACAAGTTGGACCGGACATAGTAGCATCATGGATGTTACTTTATCCTAATTTAACACATACTCCCGGTGATACAATTTTGTTTTTATTTTGAGGAATATTCAAAGAAAGCAACCATGGAAGAAAAAGCGGAAGCACAGGACCGTGCTGTCAGGAACGTTGGGAGTAGCTTCCGCTGTCTCGTGCGGGTCAAAAGATATTATTATCAAACTGTCTTTTGCAAAAGCTTTATTATAAACGAAAGCATGGGAGAAATTATTCTCCACGCCACATCCTTATCATGCCATAAATGTTCTGTGTCTTACAGCCACGCCACGTGTCATTAACATACAATTTTTATTATTTACAAAAATATGCCATCTTCGAATCCTAGGACAAGTCACACGTATTGCCAAAACTAGACTCTCTCTTTTTTTTTTTTTTTTGCCCATACTAAAATTGGACGGGTCATTCGCAATGACAAGTCAACCTAGGTCGTATGGGAAAAAAATAAAATTTTTAATGACTAGGCATAAAAAAATTGGGTTACCATTTAATACGTTGCATCCTAATGACCTTTCTCTACGTTCCATTTTTTTTTTAACCATCCAGCTACGTGTCATCTGATAAGTCCATGTTATCATTGTAGCACCATTTACAACTCTTCATCAGGTTTGAAGTTTGAACATCATTCCATGTCCAGGAAATAACTTTTTTTAAAAAAATAAATTCCAAGGACTACAATCACGAATTTGCAATTTAAAGAATTAAAATTAAAATGAATCCAAATTTCAAAAATCAAAAATTATATTTACCCAATCAAATTTGATAGAACTTGTAAATATAGTAATTTAAAACATTAAAAAAATATAATTTACTCTAAATGACATCATCCGCATGCCACGTACGTGTTTCTCGTTTGTGTCCCTCAAGCTTGGTGCTAAAACAGAAACCCTTTCACATGAAGTCATAAATGTTCACTTTTTTTGCATCCTTTAGCAAAGGGAGAAATTTAGAAAGAAAAAGGAGGCAAAGCTGATAATTATTGTTAAATACTACCTCCGGTCCTAATTATAAGACCCAGTTGACTTATTTAAGGAGATTAAGGAAGTATGTTAAGTTAGTTATTTGTAATAAATAAGTGTTGTCATTCTAAAATATCATTGCTAATTAAGTGTATTGGCTAAAACTATCATTATTAGAAGGGCTATCTTAGAAAAAAATGCATAAATATGAAAGAAAAAATGGATTGGGGTCTTATAATTAGGACCAACAAAAAATCAAACGGTCAAATCTTATTTAAGGACAGGAAGTAGTAATGATTACAATAATATCGTAATAGTCTAATAGACAACACAAAAGACATTACCTTTAATACGCCAATGAGTGCTCCACAAACGGTGGCCAGTCATAAAGATTCACACTATACCAAGTGGCGGCCAAGGTGCTGATAACATAATGAACATGAATATACAAAGAATATAGAATTTCAAATAAATATTTCATTTTTTTAATATTCTAGGACATAAAGAGCATAACAATTTGAAGATAAGGATTAATAGAATATATTTCAATCTATTTATTAATATATTATGTTTCTCAACAATCAATTATATGTTTATTAATGGTCAATATCTTTATCTTATTAGTATTAGAGTATCGTAAAAGATTTTTTTTTCATTTTGGATTTAAATTCAAGTTTTGTTATTTTAATTAATAACAATTAATAATTAGTTTATAAGTTTATAGTTTAAAAGTTTATTAATATTTAAATATTTAATTATATTAATTTCATATTTAATTTAATCAGAATTTCATTTTATAATTAATATAAAATATTATTATAATTAATAATTTGTCCCACCTTGGGTGCCCCACCCTCCTAAACGAAAAATGAATATCAATGATATATCATAATATTAAAATCTGATCTGAATGACTTTGTCAAAACAATAAATCAGTTAACTAATCCCTTGGTATAGTCAAAAGTTTTAGACAAATTGATCAAGTCGGACCAGCTTGTCAAAACATTAGGTTAAAAAAATAACAATCTATCATATTTATATTTTAGTACCTGTTTTATTAGATTATGATTGATTTATACAAAATTATTCTATTCACATGCGAATTAATACTTTTTTAATTTAAATATTACTCTTTTTAGAGGTATTTATGAATGAATACTTTTAATATATAATTAAGTTGTATTATTTTATTCATGATTGAGTCCACCCTATTTCAACTAACTTAAATGACTAATCCAATTTTTAGTACTCCTTTGGTCCTAAATATAAGACCCTCTCGTAGTGTAGTTTACACTACAACAGGGGTCTGAGTCACAGAATGCGTGTGCTGCCCACAGAGGTCCATGATTATTTCGCCGCCTGCTACTAAGTTAGGAGAAAGTAAACAAAGATTACAAGACACAAAGAGCCAATCTTGTTCAGCACGTGCTGAATGATTCACTTCCACTAAATCAAGTTTAACCAAACATCACTTGTCACCAAATAATGAATACTGATGGTCAGTTTAAAGTCTGTCCACAGTCTAAATTATCATAATGTACAATGAAATGTGATTTGAACTGTTAATTTTCACCTACGAATCAGAGGACAAATAATAAAGGGGAAATCAAAACCTATTAGCTTTGCCTAACTTAAATTAAAGAATGTTTTCTCAATTTCACCACTTAATTATATAAGATAAATTACAGGTATTGAGAGATTCGTATTCTTAAGGAGGACTAAAACCTTACTTCCTTAGTTTCTTCTATGCTTGTGTATTGACACTTTCGTTTCTAGCTTCTGCCTGTTTACACATGCAATCCGGCATGGGAAAATTGTAGAGTGAACCACCTGGCTTTTTCATCTCAATTCCCTTCTGATCACTGCGGCGAAGCATCTCTTTCACTTGTTGCTTAAATACTTTCCAACTGCAGAATCAGTATTAGTAGTAACAATTAAATTTTGAACTTACGCCCACATAGTAATGAATCTGGAAAGTATATCACCTATTATTGCTATCAAAATGTGCTTTTAGTAAAGATGGAAGATAAGTTGCGTAAAAAGAAAAATAAATTGCACAAAATGTAATTTTGCATATAGAGAAGTTGTACAGAGGGAAGATGAATTGCACGCAAAGAAAAATAAGTTGCACAAAAGGAAGATAAATTGCAGGAGGGGAACTAGTTTGCACATAGAGAAGATGGGCTGCACAAAGAACAAAGTGGTCATTTCATATTGTTATTTCGCCTATAGGACCTCATAGCTTCACCTTTTCCTAGAGACCATTCCCCCATTAATTTTCAAATGGGGATTTATCCACAATTTTCCCTATTTTATTTATGTTTTTATTAAAAGTTACTCTATTAGGAGCTATTGGGCACAGTATAGAGCCCTTACAATGGGACTTCGGATTCAAAAAGAAAATGCAGTTTTAGAACTCTGTTCTCTCTCTCTCTCTCATGCCATTTGTTCCTCCCTCTCGGATTTCTCTCTGTTCCTCAGTCCGTCGTCAGATCTTTCTGACCTTTTCTGTTACTCCCTCCCTCTTTCTCCAGCAACTCCCCCTTTATTTTCTTGCATAAAGTGCATTCCAAGTACTGCCACCCACCAATTTTCCAAGGGGTAATATTTAAACTTACAAGGTTCTGGCTACTTAAAAGCAGTCTACACCTATTGTGTTTTTTCCCTGCTCAAATAGGATAGAAGCACTCAGATGTTTCCAACGAAACTGAACCTATTATGTCTATATGCAGTCAATCACATAACCTTGAGACGACTGGTATAATAGTTTACCTATAAAGTTTGCATTTATTGTTCTCAACGCAAAAATATTCCTTACCGTGATGAATGAAAAGTTGTAAATCAGATGAAAAGCATGGAAGAGAAAAGAAATTGCACCTTATGTTGGGGTTGTCAAATAATAGAGCCAATCTTCTCTTATCTGGTCTAATCGTTTTTGCATGGCCACCAAACATATATCGCCTGTGACCCATCAAGAAATGTGGAAAGTTCCCACCCCGAAGACTTCACTATGAAGGCAACAATGCAGCCAACCTAGATGAGTGGCCCTAAGCCAGAAACATGAGTTAGAATAATTAACTTGCTCCCAGAGACATTCTTAACTTCAGTAAAATCTAGTTTACCCTCTTGTGGATTGGCCCCAAAACAATTTGCCCCATTGGAAAACTATTCAACATCACAATTCATTCCCTTTCACTGAACCAACCAATAATTTGGTCTCACTTTAAGAAAGCTAACACAAGGTATACCTTCATTATTTGAAAGCATGATAAACTTTGACACTTTCCAGTGTTCCTGAGATTATACGAGGATTAAATGGGCATTTTAATTATGTGATATACGAAACCAAACACTCATTATTCTGACACTTGATTATCCCAATAAAAATGAAGACCGAAATAAAAGATAGAGATGGTAATGTGGAAATGGAAAAAATGATGGGGAAGAAGAATAAATATTTTAAACCCGAAGGGAGGGCCAAACCACATGTGAGTCCTTTATTAGGTATTTACATAAGCATATCCAGTCCAATTACTCAATACCATGAATGGAGCAAGCTCTTCTGGAGTAGCCAGTGTATCCTTGGTTTGTAATAGCGGAAACATTTTTTAAGGGGCGCCATAAACTTTTGCTCTTTATAAATCTTTCCTGCTGCAACATATACTGTGGTCGTATTATCAAAACCCATGCCCCTAAGCATCATCCCCACCTAAAACATCAAAAAAAAAAAAAAAAATAAAAAAATGCTAAGCTGTGAAAATACAAACTATGAAGCAACAGAGAAATCATCCACTTAAATAAGTGCTACAGCTTAAAAGGGGATTTCATCGTAGTACATCCTACTAGAAGTCTAGTACTTGGAAAATGTAGCATATGCCCAATTGTAAAAGCCCATATACATAACTCCAGAGAGATTGGAGAGCTTAATTGTTTTTGACTTGATCAAGAAAATTGAAGATAGGGTTTATTTTGTATACTAATTTTAAGTAGAATAATGATTTTTTCTCATTTGTAAACATTTAGAGAGATTGGAATATGCATTATGTTTTTAGCTTAGCCAAGAGAAGAAAAGACAGACTTTCTTTTCAGCAGACATTTTTTATTTTCAATCCTACCTTATTTTTCTTTTCAAGGGTTGTTCAAGCTTGGCTTTTATTTATACTGTTTTTTCAAATGGGAGAGCATTTGGCATGCATAGCTTGAAGATTTTTCGGTAAACCAAACCACTGAATCCATTACTTTAAAAGAAATGCAAATCTACAGCCTCAGTTTATAAATAAATTTCACAGGATTTTTTCAAACCCTAAATTGCCAAACAATTAAAATGACAAAAAAAAATGTTTAAATAACTGAGTTCATGGGAATTCTAATTAAAGCCGAAAGGGTTTCCAATAGAGTAATCAGTTCAACTACCAATATAAACAACAAATAAGATGCACCAATAGCACAAAAACAACAAACCTCAAAGGCTTTTAAGTTTTTGAAATCAAAGAAAATAAATAAATTCTTCAAACGATATACCTCCAATGGAGTCATTGGGCATTTTCCATTGATTCGATTTGCACCAGGCTTGATTACTTTATTCTTTCTCCTGAATTTACCCCGCCAACTCCTTTCCCGAGCAATATCCATTTCACGCTTCTCTTCCTCACCCCCATCATACTCACAACATGAAAATGCAACCATATCCTTTTACAGAGAGATGAACAATCAATAATAATATAAGATAACTTGACAAACTGAAAATTATACAAAGATATTAAATAGAACCTCCTCAAATCGAAGATGCACAGAAACATATTGCCCTTTACTTTGGGAGCTATATTTGACCATCCGCTCAACCATGCTTTCCGCAAGTGTTCTTATAGGTTCTGAAAATCTAAGAGCTTCAAAATTGGCAAAGCACCTGAGTCCTTGGATTTTAGAGGGCACATTCTGAGCTAATCTGTTGGAGAAAGGTGCAATGCGAACAGCTCTGCAAAAAGGAATGAATAAAAGTCATCTAATGAGCCACAGACAGTATGACAAGTTAAATAACTAGCAAGTTTTATCAAAGAAGTTAACAAAAATAATAATATAATAGTGGACAAGAAACATCCAGAAAAGGGCCATAACTGTAGCACTTTTTGGCGGAATGTACTTTTAGGAAATCTCTATAATATGCATCACTTAGCTTATAACACAAAATCCCCCCTGCAATCCTACATTTGTTCCAGAAAGTTGAGAAATACCATCAAACCTAACAGTCAACAATTACATGGATACTCAAGAATTTAAAGTTTTAAATTACCAAGAACCATATGTCAGCTGTCAGGTTGGCTTAGAAAAGGACCCATATATCAGTCTTCAAACACATTAATTACCAAATTGAAAGATTTACCAATTGAATCTAACAAGTTGAGATGATTCAATCATTTAGCAACATGGACTGCTGGAAGAAAAGGAGAACACATCGAATCAAACTTTGAATCATAGCAATCCCAAAGAGGACCGAAGTGGGATGGAGAACCAACCCATTGAAGTACCTCATAAAACATCTCACACTACTGAACTTATGATACAAGTGTCCCATCCTACTTCAATTTCCATCCAGTCGCCAGCCCTATAGAATCAATGTTCTGATGACAACATTTTGTGACACTGCACTCAATTTTTTTTTGCTGATCAAAATAATCTTCAGCGGGTAGGTCTTCTACAAAGTTGCTAACCACCAACTTTGATATTAATTGATGGACACCCAAGTGTAATGGATACCAATGGGACAAAGTACCCCATTGAGCATCTCAAAAATTGGATATCTTACTAAAGCTTCTATCAGGTTCAACCTAAGAATGATTTATCACATCATACTATGATACACACACATTATCCAATGGCTTCTATCCAGCTTGCAAAGTTAAGTCCAATTCATCCAAACATGAGCCAAATGTGAGAGCTTAGTTTTCACCTGTTCCTTGTATGAAAACTAACACAAAACCCTAATATGACACTGTGCGCTTAAAGTAACAAAAATTATACCAGTTTTGATTATCAATGTAGGTTTTCCATTGAAGAAGTTGATGACCACCGCCAAAGTGTCTAAGAGGGAGGGAGGCTGGTTTAGGGATCACTATTGCTCACCGCCATTCTAAGCTCTCACCAAACTACTTGAAATTAAGCTCACCTTTATGCATTCTGTTACCTCTGCTTTGAAGTTTTCAGGGTAAAAATTTTAGCTTCTAGTGAGTATTTTTATGCTATTGTCTATTGCAATACAGACCAAAGAAGCTCACCAAACAAACAAATATAAAGAGTCTGGCTTACAGATGCATTTAAAGAAGGAAAACAAAACTGAATAAGTTCGGCTTTACCTAAGGTCAAACTTTGGAAACACAAGGTGGTGGATAAAGGTGGAGTAAGTAAGAAATCATTTCTAATTTGTCAATATAATGAAAAGATTGTAATTTCCATCTTAAAGTTCATTAGGCATTTCATTTTACATCCTTAGTCTCTAAGCAGAAAAGAAGTGTTTAAATTGATTAAAATTAAAACACTCACATAAGGAAGGTCAATTTGAGCTTAATGGAATAGCAAAATATAGTTTTAGTATTATTGTTCAAACACTTTCTGTCTCGAGGAACTGAAAAACAACCAGACAAGTTGTCCTGAAATATAATGAGATAGAAAGCCACGCACCCCATTCCTCGAAGTTGTGGAAGCACCTTCTGAATATAATGAGCTGGACTAGTCCAAGCTTTAACTCTAAGATTGATAATGTTACTTATGTTATTGTCAAAGCGCTGAAGTATGTCATCTGGAAGTCGTCTAGCCACATGCACATGATTTTGAAGTGCACTTATGAAGAAATCCTCATCGAATATCTCACCAAATTTGCTGCCAAACATTAAGATTTAGCATATGTTAATGTTCTAATCTATTTAAAGGAATTCAATATCAAGTATCAGATCAGTTATCACAGAATCAAGAGGGACAAATAAGGGAACATTGTAAACAAATAATGTTTGAAACATGATCAGGAATCCAACTGAGATTTGAGACATCAAAAAACTTATGCCCAACCAGAAAATAAAAAATAATAGTTGAAATGCTATTGGAGAAAGCTTGTAGCCAAAAACGGAAACTAATTTTATCATTTCATAAGGTGATTGTTTCTTAGAGGCTGCTAGCATTTTAACTTTATCATTGGCATCAGTAATTTAAAGTTAACTTTTGCCTGTGTTCCAGGTGGTTTGTCATTCTCAGTGAAGCTATGACCGTTATTTATAATCCTACATATGAAACAGACCAAAATTGATACATGTACCCAGAGCCCATCAACGAACGATGATCATCTTCACAAGTCAAAACCACTATCTTTATGCATTTGAAATTCTGTGAGATCTATCCCCAATGCCAAGCATCTAACAATGAACCTAGAGCAAGTAAAATGGTAAAACATGACCCATCTTACAAATCCAGATTTTGAATATGTGAATTATGTGCTGGAAAGAAACAATAAATCACAATAATTCACGTATCGATATAACAGTAGATATATAACAGCTGTAAAATATGAAGAATCAAACAGCCAACACATTAATGTTAACCTTTGCTATACAGCCAACAAAAAGAATTACCTTGAGTCCCGCCAAACACTATTAAAGTGAAATATTGGAATAAGAAGAGTTGCATTTAGCAGTCCAGCTACTGCAACCGCATCAGATATCTGAGATAAAGAAGATATTAGAAAGTGCCAGAACAAAACAGACATAGGATACACAAATGTGACCCATCTAAATTCAAGGAAAAAAGGCCAGATATTAATTTTCATTCTGCCACTGTAATAATTTAGAGCAAGATGCCAAGTAATCAATCACTAGGGGAACCACAAGCAACAAATCCTCAATTCACAATTACTAGCTAGTTGGCATCAATTTCCAATGGAAATGATAATTGAAGACAATCACCTTCCATGAAACCATGATCTCTATAAAGGAAGTATC